AGCCTCAAAGTAAGCAGCATTTATTCAGTTTAAAGAAAGCAAGAATTATTAGTTTGTTTCAACGCAAAGCCACATATTAAACTTTTGCAATCCGTGCTCCTCAGGGAATCGAATCCCGGATTTGGGCGTTGTAGGTCCGAATCTTACGACTGCTACACCGAGGGACAATTTTATGAAATTCCTTTCTTTCTCGTAAATAAACATCAACATGGTTTGAGAATAAATCAAAGAATATCGTCAGATAAAAACATAAAATTTTAATTTTTCTTGGTGACTCCTGGAAAGTTCATTAAGGATTGTATTCAAATGACCTCCGACTTTGTCCACCGTTTAAAATTCTTAGAACTCATTGGCTATTATTTCATCTTATCTATAACAATTATTGACGTTTCTGTGTGCTGGTGGGTACTTTTGTTAATTTGAAAATTCGTATTTGTTTTTCTACTGAGAACTACTTCGTGATTACAGTTTAGAAAATGATGATAAATAAGGCGAGTTAACGTGTGGATAGCTGGGTAATTTCTTTAGTGAGGTCACTAATGGAGGTGCAGCTGTGAGGTTCCCGCTGTTCGATTCTAATTTCATTTTTTGCTTTTCAAGCAAGACTTTTACCTGGAATTGAACAAATACTTTTCACCATCCCCATCAATTATGTTTCTCCTACTTCTTACTTCCTTATTCAAAATGATACACACATTCACATAATAATGCTTAAGTAAATATTGTGTTACCTCATTATAACTTGAAAAAGAATCGTATTGGGATTCAAAGAAATTACATTTGTTTGACAATTAAAGATAAACAAATGATCTCGCTGGATAAAAATCGCTTGAATGCATGCCAAAAATTACACCAAGATTTACAGGCTAAACTTGATCTTACAATTCTTTATTACATAAGATCTCTAGCTAAAACAGAATCCTAGGTTTTAAGTTTTGAGTGTAGGGTGGAAAGACAGATCAAGTGTTTGCGTAATTGTTTGTTTCGGGAATTCATACAAAGCTACACAAAAGGTATTTACGCATAGCCGTCCCTGATACACTGGAGAAAAGGCGGGGAGTTAACAGCACCAAGTTCCAACTTTTGGAGATCTTAAATTGAACTGTGGGATTTGACAGTTACGCTAATAACGCACCCAAGGATTTGCAGTATGATTTCACTGTTAAATAAACGCAAATCATGGATCATTGGATTCACAGTTCAGCGGGTTGACCACTTGAGATACGCACATCCGGGACATTGTCTGATAACCTGATAGCCAAATGTTTAATAAATATTAATGCTAAGGTCACCTCACAGAGAAACTTTATTTCTAGTTTTAATGTACTAAAACCATAAATTAAATAACGAGTCAGAATCATTAAGTACGTTATTACTTAACAGTAGGGATCATGATGAAACAAAATGGCGGCCATAAAAATCGTTTGTTTAAAACCATCTTTAAGATGTCTGAATATTAACAATAACAATACGTGTTTTTGGACTGAATAAAATTTTACTATTTCAACAAATTTTCATCTAAGTAAGTAAGTGAGTTTTCCAGACAAGTGTACAGAAAAGGGGATGAACCTTATCATTCTAATTCTTTCTTTTCCGTCTGAGGTTCCAATAATTCCTTTTTTTAACCGAAAAGGATACCAGTATATATATATATATATATATAACGAACAATACGCTAATTTGTGCATATAATTAGATTTCAGGGTAGGTTGGTAGAGGTCCTAATGAGTAATAAAAGTAAATCGGGTATACGCGCGCCCCATGCTTGGTGTTGTTGGCGCACAAAAATGTAGCCAATAAAAAAGAAATAAACAGGTACAATATAATGTTTTTAAATTTTATGAAGCCAAGTAAGGATCGATATACACGTAACCTAGCCACCTATAGTAATATAGAAAGTTTTAATTCTACGAAAAATATTGAAACAAGAAAGTCAAAACTACAAAAACTGTTACTGTTACTTTGGCTCAGAAGAACATAATTACAGTGATTTGCCAAAGTAGGGATAATTTGTTTTTTTATTTTAAATTAGTCATTTTCTGTAGTTTTGATTTTCTTGTTTCAATACTCGTTGTAGTATTTAAACTCTCTATATTACTGTAGCTAGCTAGGTTACGTATATATATATCGATCCCTACTCGTCTTTATAAAATTTAAACATTTCTTACTGTACTTGTTTGTAACTAAAGATGGCTTGGTTTGCTAATATACATAAGCATTTTCTTATGAAGCAACTAAACCTACCTGTGTTTTTTTGTAATTTCTGCATCGTTTAACAAATACAGGAACTTAATACGAGAAGTACACAATTAGTTTTCTAAACAATAAATTATTTAAAGATATCAGAGTGAAGCATATAGAAAATTGTTACTTTTGTTATTTACATTTTTTATAATTTCAAATAATTAATATGTGAATAGAATTTATTCCAGTCGATTACTTATTTACATAAAGTTTTTTGTTTTTGAAGTTACGCACAAAGCTACACAATGGGCTATCTGTGCTCTGCCC